CTGAGCAGATGCTTCGCTTAAGGGCGTGGCAGCAGCGAAGGCGGGGGCAGGGGCAGGCGGCCCCCCGCCCAATGTCCAAAACCAAACGGGGCCGACACGCCAGAACTGTTATCAATCATCCATCGTCGTCGCCATCCAGTGCCCAGCGCAATGCTGGTTGCACTCTTATCGTGCCAGCACATAGGAAACGTATGAGAGCAGTCAGGAGGTGCGAGAAGCATTGCAAGGGGTGGAGGAGGACGAGGGGGAGGAGGGGGGAGAAGGGGATACGGGTTGCAACTTCCAGCCTTATACAGCTGCATATTCGTCGTTGAACAGTTGGGGCTCTCAAGCGGCCATCGTCGAGCCGGCTTGCGGTCGTGTCCGGCCCCCGTCGTGAGGTGTATGTGTACGTGTATGTGTATGTGCATGTTCGGATTTTGAAATACGCATCCTATCTGAAGTGCATCGCCCTCTGCCGCCGGCCCCCTTTCTGATTGTCTAGGTTGTTGCGTTGATCGGGTTGGTTGGCTGTTTGGCTGGCTGGTTACCAGACTTGGAACTCGGCTGGCCGGCCGCGCGCGCAAATGGATACCTATACGACCACCCTGCGGGTGATAAGGAGGTTGGGGGGGAGGGGCCCAGCAATGGGCAACAGTGGTGATTGTTGTTCTGACGATGCCAGTGGAGATTGTTGCGTTGTCGCTCGCTCTTGGGAGCCTTGGTGTCGAGTTGTTTACGTTGCCCTTCGCTCTTGGGCGCATCCGACGAACATCGCGCAGATGAGCTCCTGCGCAGCTGCATGCATTCTAAAGTCGGTTGATCTGCCTCTTGGAGCCTTGTGGGGGCAATATTGGAGCTGTCGCGGGGCTCTTGGAGCCGTCTTGGGGGCTCTCCTTGCCCCTGGCGTGATGCCTGCTAGAGCTCTCTTGGGGTCCTCTTGGGGCCCTCATGGAACCCTCTCGGGGGTTTCTTGGAGCCGCATGGGGGCCCTCTTGGCGCCGTCTCGGGGGGGTCGGAGCCGTCTTGCGGGCCCTCTTGAGCCACCTCGCCAAACTCCGTCTGACGGAGTTTGGCGTGATGCTTGGTAGTGCTCTCTTGGGGCACTCTTGGGGGCTTCTTGGAGCCGCCTGGGGGCCCTCTAGGAGCCGTCTCGGGGGGTTCGGAGCCGTCTGGCGGGCCCTCTTGAGCCACCTCGCCAAACTCCGTCTGACGGAGTTTGGCGTGATGCCTGCTAGTGCTCTCTTGGGGCCCTCTTGGGGCCCTCTTGGAGCTGTCTCGGGGCTCTTGGAGCCGTCTTGGGGGCCCTCTTGAGCCCCCTTGCCAAACTCCGTCCGACGGAGTTTGGCGTGATGCCTGCTAGAGTTCTCTTGGGGTCCTCTTGGGGCCCTCTTGGAACCTTCTTGGGGGCCTCCTGGAGCCGCCTGGGCGCCCCAATTGGAGCCGTATCGGGGGGGTCGGAGCCGTCTTGCGGGCCCTTTCGGGCCATCTCGCCAAACTCCGTCTGACGGAGTTTGGCGTGATGCCTGCTAGTGCTCTCTTGGGGCCCTCTCGATCTCTCACTATCGGTCTCATTATCGATCTCACGATTGATCTCACTATCGATCTCACGACGGGACGCCGACGGGACACCGGCGGAACACCGGCGGAACACCGGCGGGACACCGCGCGCCAGCGGTTGTCGGGAGGAGAAACATTTGGTCCGGCCGCGCCTCAGCCACAGGAGATGTTCCTCTCGCCCGCCCACGCAACTTCGCCTCGCCAGCACGCACGGCACGCACGAACACGAAACCGAAATCGATTTCCCGGTAGGGGGGCTCTCCGTTTCACTTCGATCTCACTCCCCAACCTCCTACTTAGCAGATTGATTGGGTGCTTGGTTGGCTGGCTGGCAGGTTGGCAGGTTGGCAGGTTGGTTGGATCATGGGCACAACGCGCGCCACGACGAGAGCAAAGGACAAGTCCGAGCTCGGGGGGGGGTTCGGAACCCCCTGAAATCAGGGTTCAGGCTGAACCCTGCAAGCGCCTCGACGACAGCAAAGGACAAGTCCGAGCTGGGGGGGGTTCGGAACCCCCTGAAATCAGGGTTCAGGCTGAACCTGGCAAGCGCCACGACGACAGCAAAGGATAAGTCCGAGCTCGGGGGGGGGGGTCGGAACCCCCTGAAATCAGGGTTCAACCTGAACCCTGATTTCAGGGGGTTCGATTTCCGAACCCCCTGAAATCAGGAGTTCAGGCTGAACTCCTGATTCCAGGAGCTCCGAACTTCGAGCTTCGGTGTTGTTTTCACCGAAGCTCGAAGTTCGGAGCTCCTGGAATCAGGAGTTCAGCCTGAACTCCTGATTTCAGGGGGTTCGGAAATCGAACCCCTTGAAATCAGGGTTCAGGTTGAACCCTGATTTCAGGGGGTTCCGAACCCCCCCCCGAGCTCGGACTTGTCCTTTGCTGTCGTCGTGGCGCTCGCCAGGTTCAGCCTGAACCCTGATTTCAGGGGGTTCCGAACCCCCCCCAGCTCGGACTTGTCCTTTGCTGTCGTCGTGGCGCTCGCCAGGTTCAGCCTGAACCCTGATTTCAGGGGGTTCCGAACCCCCCCCCGAGCTCGGACTTGTCCTTTGCTGTCGTCGTGGCGCTTGCAGGGTTCAGCCTGAACCCTGATTTCAGGGGTTTCCGAACCCCCCCCCGAGCTCGGACTTGTCCTTTGCTGTCGTCGTGGCGCTCGCCAGGTTCAGCCGGAACCCTGATTTCAGGGGGCTCCGAACCCCTGCCGAGCTTGGACTTGTCCTTTTCTGTCGTCGTGGCGCTCGCCGGGTTCAGCCTGAACCCTGATTTCAGGTAGTTCGGAACCCTCCCTCGAGTTCGGATGTGTCCTTTACATCGTCGTGGCGCTCGCCAGGTTCAGCCTGAACCGTGATTTCAGGGAACTCCGAGCTCCCCTCGAGCTCAGCCTGTGTGTGTGCTTTGTACGTGTGTGTGGGTGTAAGTCTGTACGTGTGTGTGCGCGCGTGCTCTTGCGTGCGTGCGTGTCGATTTGTGTTTAGTTGCATGTGTATCGGAGGTTGGGGGGTGAGATCGAAGTGAAACGGAGAGCCCCCCTACCGGGAAATCGATTTCGTCCCGTCGGTGTCCCGTCGTGAGATCGATAGTGAGATCCATCGTGATATCGATAATGAGACCGACAGTGAGAGATCGAGAGGGCCCCAAGAGAGCACTAGCAGGCATCACGCCAAACTCCGTCAGACGAAGTTTGGCGAGATGGCCCGAGAGGGCCCGCAAGACGGCTCCGAACCCCCCGAGACGGCTCCAAGAGGGCCCCCAGGCGGCTCCATGAGGCTCCAGAGAGGGTGCCAAGAGGGCCCCAAGAGGACCCCAAGAGAGCTCTAGCAGTCATCACGCCAAACTCCGTCAGACGGAGTTTGGCAAGGGGGCTCAAGAGGGCCCCCAAGACGGCTCCAAGAGCCCCGAGACAGCTCCAAGAGGGCCCCCAGGCGGCTCCAAGAAGCCCCCAAGAGGGCCCCAAGAGGGCCCCAAGAGAGCACTAGCAGGCATCACGCCAAACTCCGTCAGACGGAGTTTGGCGAGGTGGCTCAAGAGGGCCCGCAAGACGGCTCCGAACCCCCCGAGACGGCTCCAAGAGGGCCCCCAGGCGGCTCCATGAGGCCCCAGAGAGGGTTCCAAGAGGGCCCCAAGAGGACCCCAAGAGAGCTCTAGCAGGCATCACGCCAAACTCCGTCAGACGGAGTTTGGCGAGGGGGGGCAAGGAGAGCCCCCAAGACGGCTCCAAGAGCCCCGCGACAGCTCCAATATTGCCCCCACAAGGCTCCAAGAGGCAGATCAACCGACTTTAGAATGCATGCAGCTGCGCAGGGGCTCATCTGCGCGATGTTCGTCGGATGCGCCCAAGAGCGAAGGGCAACGTAAACAACTCGACACCAAGGCTCCCAAGAGCGAGCGACAACGCAACAATCTCCACTGGCATCGTCAGAACAACTATCACCACTGTAGCCCATTGCTGGGCCCCTCCCCCCCAACCTCCTTATCACCCGCAGGGTTGTCTTATAGGTATGTATGTTCGTACGGTGTGTTTGTGTGCGCGCGCGTGTGTGTGTGTGTGTGTGTGTGTGTGTGTGAGCGTGCGTGCGTGAGAGGGTGTGCGTGTGTGTATGTGTGCTTGCAAGTATATGTGTGTGATTGTCCGCGAGACCCTCGGTGGGCCATTTCTATGCCCTGGTGGCAACTGAAGACGAGAGCTTTTGGAAGGAGGCCCTCACGTTGCCCACGATGTCTGGAGTCCCCGGTCAAGGAGGGATAAAAGCTCTTATTGTATTCTTGACGCTTCGCGTATTCCCCCAGCCCATCCAGAACCGATCGTTTGACGACGTGCCCTCGTCATGGAAGTTGAGGTGCATGCAGTTGTTGAACAGACAGGTGAGGCACCGATCACCCCGAAACTTGTTTTTTCAAGGATTTTGTCTTTCGGGGCATGTGAGAGGTCATCTTGAATAATACTGAACTATATTGGGCCGCGGTGGGGCGTATCTTTGTCTTCCCGAGGTCCTCTTGGAGCCATCTTCGGAGATATGAAGCTCTAGTCCCTCGCGTGACCCCCCCTGCAGACTAAGGGGGGTAGTTGGGCCCCCCGAAGGGGAACGCAGGGGGGGACAAAGAGGGTCGGAAGATTACACTTCGAAGCCGCCACGCCCTAAAGGCTAGAATTTGTATAATGATAAACTGCGCAACCTCATTACATGGGAAACTTGTTCGATTGCAGTTTTGGCTCAATACTTGATTCGAGTGCTGATATATTCTTCAGAAGTGCCGGGCACTTGGAACCGTCAGGTTGGCTAAAGCATGACAGCCCCAGATATAGTCGACCACGGCTTTCGAGTGAAGCTAGATGAGATTTCCCTCGATGATTCTTCCGGGTGGAGGCCCGCGCAGGCGGGCGTGGTTCGAGAGTTTTACTGTTCGTTTCAGAGCACTTACATGGCGACGCTGCATCGCCCCCCTCGGCTCCTAGTGAGTTCAACAAAGTCGCCGTTGGACCTGATGATGGACTCAGCTGGGAAGTACATGCTCGACGACGGCAAAAGCACCATCAAGGCCCTGATGCAGTTAAAAGCAGAGCACGCGGCAGGTACCCTAGGGCCGTGCTGCGAGAAGTTGATGCAAGTGTTGGTGTCAGGCGAGCTCGTTGTGCAAGCGGTGCACTACCCATCCGGTGACACTCTCGAGAGGTTCGCCTTCAATGCGCATGCTCACGATGAGGAGAACAACACGTTCTTGCCGACCACGGTGGCCACGAAAATCAAGCTCATCAAGTCCATCAAAGCCACAGTTCCCGGTGGCGAGTGGAACTTGGTGCAGACTTGGCTGGAAGGGAGATACGGCGTCGCCAAACGTTCCTCCATCAAGCGGACGATCACAGCTGCCAAGTGCGTGAGCGACCGCGTCGTGGAGTTTATCGACGAGAGGGCTTCCAGGCTTGGCGCAAAACACGGCGTTACAGCGGGCTACATTCTCGGGAACGATTAATTTTGCGCCCTGGATGCTAAAAAGCAGAGTACCAGACTCAGCGATGAGGAGCAGCTCGTGGCAATTACAGTTCTGGCGAAGGTGCTCGACGATGGCGCCAGCCTCACGATCGATTCTTTTCAGAAAACAGTAGGTCGGCCAATTAAGTTCGCTTGCGTGTGGGTGAAGCACGTTACCAACCAATACTCGGACGTGTTGGGCACCGCGGATGGCAACTCCATGAAGGGCGCCGTCGACCGCACCCGGACCAACCTGCTCATGAACGATGGTTCGAGGGCCAAGGCCCGCAACTGGGCTTCCCTTGGGCTTCTGGCTGAAACCGAGTTGGAGTGGTAAGTTGTTTCTGCTTCAGGTTATTCGCGGGCCTGCGCCAGTCGCAGGGCCAGCACCTCCTCGGGGGTAGATGACCTCGCCCGAGCCCAACCCGCAACGCGTTTTGCATCGGGGTGTTAGCCGCTAGCCAGATTTTTAGATCGCATGAACGCTGCCCCACAGGTCGTCGAGTGCATCGCTGTGAACAGCCCGCTCGCGCCCACGATTGTCGATTGCAAGGTTCTGGTGGACTCCCTGAAGGCAGTGAGGGCTCGCTTGCGCGCCCCTGCTCCTTCGGCAAACGGCCGCGGGGCCAATGGCGACGAAGCCGGCGACGACCTCGACCTGGAGCTGGAGTCGATCGCGGTGAAGGGCGAGCAGGACAAGAGCGGAGTTGAATGTCGCACCCCGGAAGAGCGGGCAGCCGACGCGAAGGCCCAGATGCACATGGGCGCCATCGCGACGTTTTCAAGCCAGGCAGAGTTCAAGGCGGAGGTGGTTAGACGAGTAATAGATGTGCACACTAAGTCGGACTGGCTGATCTTGTTGGACGCGTCGAACACAGCACGTCGCGTGCAGACCTCGTACCTCGAACTGATCAAGGCGTCCTTGTCGGAGAAGGTAACTGGCCGCATCGTGTGCATGGTCGGGCCTTCAATGGCGAACGCAGCAGCTTGCGCCGAGCAGATGGCGAGGCTATGGCCGAGGGCGAACGTGTACGACACCAAGGTGGCCCAGGGCACCGAGCATGCCGACCGTGCCAGGGGGTCGCGCGGCGACGAGTACATTATCACCGTCGAGCTGCCGAATGCGAAGAATGGGGCGAACGCCGTCCCGCACATCCTCGTCGCGGCGACGCCCCGCGGCAGCCCTTCGGATGCGATGGTGGTTTCCTGCGACGGTGCGTGCGAGCACCTGCAGACGAACCCCCAGGCGCAGGGCCAGCAGGGCGACGACGGCGCCCCCCCAGAGGACAGGGAGAACGCCAACTTCGAGGCAATGCTGGAGGATATGATGCAGTCGGAGGACGTGGGCGGCTCGGGAAAAAAGATCCGGCGCTGGTCCTTCGCGCGCCCGGTCGCGACGTACAGCGCAGTGTTGCGGCAGATCGGTCGGATCTCTGCCTGCCAGACGTGCATCATAGTCTCGGGCACGGCTTCCCCGAATTCCATCCTCGCAGCGCATGCCGCTTATGCCGAGATGATGATGGGGAACGGCCAGCACGTATTCGCGCTCGTCGACCGCCCGTCGGCCCACCTCCGATGGCACGGGCAACAGGTCCTGTTGACTGGGCTTCGGGCGGCATGCGCTCCGGCCGCTTCGAGCGCGTCCACGTCGGCCGGGTGTTTGTTGGAGAACTTGCAGTTGATCGTCGTGCCGGCTGCGTCCACCACCATCGACATTGCTGACGTTCCATTGACTGAGTCGTCTCCTTTATCGGGCATTGACATCGCGGTGGACATCAGGACGCCAGCGCGCGCGGTCTTCGCCGTTGTTCTGAATGGCGCGGGCCCCCAGACTTCGCATTTGCCGCTGCCAGGGCCCGAATGGGGGCCCCGCCCGGGCCCCGAGCGGGCCCTAAACGGCATTGGGCCCGCGAGGCTTCCAAGAGGGCCCCCCGTTCGTTCGCGCCTTGGCGCGAGCCTGAGCGATAGCGAAGGCGGCGCCTGTTGCGCAGGAAACATTTCCTTCCGTTGCGGGAGAAGGAGCCCATGGAGTACCAGCTCGTCACTCGGCCCGATGGCGACCATACTCGAGTCTATGCCCATGCGAACTTGTCCGAGGGCACCGACGTGGGCAATGCCACGCACATACTGTTCTCGACCCGCGCGTCGCTGGAAGCCTTCTTGAAGTCTGCTGCTCGCCCCAGTCGCCGCCGGTTTGCCGATCGCTCGTTCAAGATCGAGTCCGTGTTCTACGACGGCAGCGCCGCGGCGCTGCACGGCGCGTTCGTTGGGATCGTTGGCGAAGTCATGGCGCCGAACGCCAACCAGCGCCCCAACGTCGAGCTGTACGCCTGCCCTGGCGCTGGCATGAACCCTGGCTTGGTGAAGCTCCGCGTAAAGACCAGGAACAGGTGCGGCGTCGGCAAGAACTCAGAGCTTCTCCTCGATTACGGCGGCGACTTCAACCTCGCGCTCCCCGTGTTGGCAGGGGGGGCGGCAGAATCCATGAAGGGGCCAATGGATAGATTCCTCGCCAGCCCTCCGAGCGCCAAGAAGCCTCGCATCGATGCCGCGAAGCCCGAGGACCCCATGGACGTGGACGGCCCCGCGGACCCGACCGCCCAGATGGAAGAGGGGGAAGGCAAAGGGGCGCCGGAGCCACCGCCTGCAGACGCCGCGGCCCTCGCAACCCTCGGGGGTGGCGAGGGCGCGCCAGGAACGGCGGCCGAAGCCTCCCCCTGGCCCGATCTGTCCAAGTTCGGCAACAATGCTGTCGCGAAGATGGTGTGGGAGAGCGGGCCTCGGGCGTACTGGCACGTCTCGTCCGATGCACGCAAGCGTCTTTACCTCGTTCGATTTGAGCCTCCTTTCACCGAGGCTGCGCAGACCATCCTGGAGCAGTTCGTGGGCGGTGCGTGCGGGAAGTGCGACGCCTCTGACGACAGCCTGGACTTACCCTTCAACTTGGCCTCGAACTCGCTCATCGTCTTCGACGGCGAGGTCATGACCTTCGAGGCGGCGTGGAAGAAGGCATTGAAGGCCAACCCGGGCATGACCATGTGGGGTTTCTATAAGGTGTCTGGCGCCGTGGACGCCGCATCGACCGAGGCAAAGGTGACCCTGTCCACTCTGAACGCGTGCCGCTTGAAACCGAAAGCAGGCAGCACGTTGATCGACATCCTTGCGCTTGTCAAGGACGGGGTCAATTTGAAGACCCGCGCCAAGCTCGTGCCCATGTGGCGAGTCAAGGACGGTCAGTTCTTACCTTTCGGGGCAGCGCTCATCAATGTCAGGAAGCTCGTCGTGCCGAAGGGCACGCCGATTGAGTTGTCCACTTGAAGTGGCCTACCTAGGCCCGCAGGGTGGCTCACCGCTGCAGTTTTGAGGGGCCCCAGCGCGGGCTAAGGCGTAATGTGCGCTCGCGTGCGTATACGCACATACACACACACATATGCACGAGTACATGTGCATCACGATCAACGCCCAACCCCAGGTTCTAGGACAACAAAGACGTAGACCAGGACAGGGCAAAACAACAAAAACGAACGATCAATACCCAGGCCCAGGTTCTAGGACAACAAGGAAGTATACCAGGCCAGGACTGCGAAACGTTATCGCCCAAACGAAGAATAAACCACAACAGGTACAAGCATAGATAATCGCGCGCGCCCTAGGTTGGCGACCCTTGTAGCAGCGGTGGTTTTGAGATCCCGCTCCTTCTGGTCCTGGCTCGAGGAAGCGGTGCGCCGGCAGCGAGTCCGATGGAAACCATATCGTCTGATGCTGCAACTCCGCCGCTTTCTATCTGCTATCCCGTTTCCCTTCATCCTCCTCCGCGCCCTGCTGTGCTGCCCCCCGCCGCCCCCTTCCCCCTTCCCCTCTCGCGGAAGCCTTGGGCTCGCGGAAGCCGTGGCCACCCGGAAGCCGCGTGAAAAGAGGCACGCTTGCGTCACTGTTCCGAGCTACCTTGGGTCGGTTTTTCGATTGTGCGTTTGGGGCATCTCTCCCTGGCCCCCACTTCCTGGCCCCCAGCCGCGTCGGGGCGTCCCTGGCGGGCGGCCCAGGCGCGAAAAGGGAGCAGCGAGTCCGAGCCCGGCGATGGGCGCCGGCGGGGTCTCTCGGGAGGGAGGTCCACAATGCTTTCGGGTAGGGCCGAGGAGGCGCGGGGGGGCGGGGGAGGGGTGGTCGGAGGGGGAGGGGAACAGGGCCCGCTGAAAGCAACCGAGTTTGGTTGGCAGCATTCCGGCTTTCACCAGAACAGGCGAGGACACGGCATGAGCGAATTCTGAAAATTGTAAAATACAGTCCTTCGGGTTCGTTTTGCATGTGTTATTGTGCTCTCCATCCCAGCGCCGATTGGACTCAAGTATGCCGCGTGGCTGCTCGATGATAGATTTGTCGTTTTGTCGTCGGCCCGCCATCGATGGCAGCATTGTTATTCAAGTGGTTTGCGCCGTTCCGCCGACCTTCAGAGGAAGTGAAGCTTTGTGACCATCGTGGAAAATCTGTAGTGGCCTTCGGCCCCATCCACCACCATGCCTGGGCTGTGCGTCAGAAGCTTCGTGGACGCATGCGAGGGTCGCTTGAGATGCCTCTCAGTGGCTTCTTGGAAGGCTCCTAGGGGTATCTGGGGGGGGGGGCTTCTGGGCTTCTTTGGGGATTCTTGGGGGTTTCTTGAAAGCCTCTTCGGGCCGCCTCGGGGGCGCCTGGGGGGCTCTCGTGGCCATCGCGGGGGGGAGATGTCAGCTCGTCTTCTCCGTTCTGGGCCCTTCCAGGGGCCCTCTTGGGCTGTTTTGGGGCCCTCTTGGCGGCCTCATGGGCCATCTTGGGACCATCTTGAGGCCCCCTTTGGCCGTCTTGGCCTAAGGCTTCCTTCAAAACCAGATTGCTCTGTTGACGAACCGCTTAAACGTAGGACCCCGTTTATATATGCGTATGTGTATACGCGTGTATAGCTATTGGCTGCTGCCGCCGCGGACCCCGAACGTTTAAGTGCTGCACGCTGGATATTTATATTATGTGGTGCAAAGTACGCGGTGCAGTCTACGGGGATTAAGCTACCTGGTGCCGCATGCGCGGGGATCTCCGTGCTTCATGTTGCGCGGTGAAATTGGGGGGTGGAGGCTATGTGGTATTAGTAACGTGGTGAAGCCGATGTGGTCCAAGCAACGACGGCGCCCGCGGGCAGGAACCGGCCGAACCGCGGCACGCACACGGCCACGCACAGAGCGCACGAGGCGCCCACAGGCGCGCGCCAGTCGAGAAGCCAGCAGACACACACACACACAGCGCACGAGGCGCCTAAGCGCACGAGGCGCCCACGAGCACCCGCCAGGGGCGCGGTCACGAGGCGCCGGGGGCCAACGGGCGCCCACACGCTGGGCACCAGCCGAGAAGCTGGCACACCCAACTGACGCAGAAGTGAAAAACCCAACGTGCAAGCTTTGTTTGAGGAGTACGTAGGCACATTCACACATATGTCTCCCCCTCCCTTGCTCCGTTCATCCTCTGCCTACCACTTCTTCTCGTGCGTCTCCATATCCCCCTTAGTTGATTATTCTCTCTTTCTCTTTCTTTCTCTCGCTTATTCTGTCCCTCGTTCTCCTCCCCGCCCTCCCTGCCTCTCTCTCTTTCTCTCGCCTTTTCTCTATATCACACTCTCTCTCTCTTGTTTTCTTTATATATAGGTATGTATGTATGTATTTATACACACATATTTATGTATGTATGTATGTATGTATGTATGTATGTATATGTGTATGTATATGTATGTATGTATGTGTATATATGTATATGTATATGTATATATATATATATATATATATATATGTGTGCGTGGCCCCCCTCTATGGCCCCCCCATTTCTTATGCTCGAAATCCGAAGGTTTACAACTTTGAAGATTTGAAGGTTTGCAGATTCGAAGATTCGAGGACTCGAAGAATTGAAGATTCGAAGATTTGAAGATTTGGGGATTTGAAAATTTGAAGCTTTGAAGATTTGAAGATTTGAAGAACCCACCGTAATTTTCAAATATTCAAATCTTCAAGTCTTCAAATCTTCAAATTTTCAAATCTCCAAATCTTCAAATTTTCAAATTCTCAAATTCTCAAATTTTCAAATTTTCAAATTTTCAAATCTTTAAATTTTTGAATCTTCGAATGTTGAGATCTTCAAATCTTCAAAGCCCCGAATCGCCGAAACCCTGAATTGCGAATCTTCGGACCTATGAACGTGTAAATCTCAATGTTTGACCCGCTCCTCTGCGTCATTGTTAAGTTCAAAGTTCTGCAGAGAACTTGTCGACCCAGCGGCGTGTGATTTAGCATTTGAATCGAATCGTTTACAGGACGCCGGGGTGTTCACTCGGACTGTCTACCCCCAGGAAATTTAGCATCCTTGAGTGGCAAACAGCGGTGCTACATTGACATGCGTGTAAGACTGGACCCTACAAAATTTGATGCCACGCGGAAAGATGTTGGCAGTTCTATTTTCCATAAAACGTTTCAGGTTCAAAGTTGCTGATATTTCTAAAACCGTGGACGCCGCAACAGAGAACATCTTTGATGATGTTTTCAAGTACTATGGACTCGGAACCCAGTGGCGGTTGCATTCATTGGAGGAGCCTCGCGTGATGGACAGTGCTGCCGGCGAGGAACACAGCATATCTGATCCGATTTCCGTGGAGCAGTTCTTACGGGCCGCTACGCGTGATGTCGCGAGCGTCAAGCACACGCGCCTCCTGTTTGACTATAACATCGCCCCAGACGCGTCATTAGGTGATTTCGACCTCGTGGAGATAGTGTAGAGCCAGCAGCTTGATGGTTTGCCTCAGCCTGTTGCGCCGCGGTATCCCCTACCAGCCTACGTGAAGGTTGGAATCATCATCGGCGAGTCCCCCGACGGTGCAAAACACATCTTAAATATGCACGAGTTCAACGGTGAGATGCCGCACCCGACTGCCATGGCGCAGGCCTTGTTGTCGGGAAGCGGCCACGTCCCTGTATTTCGCCCAGGCCCGTGGTCTGTCAAGAAGGCTGTTCAGGCGCGATTGGGTCGCATACCAGGGAAGGCTGTCTTCTGGGCAGCGATCGAGGATCAGAGCGCGAAGCGCGCCAAGACTGGGGACGAGGCGAACAAGGGTTGGCAGCCCACGGCCGGGAAGATCACAGAAGGCTTGCGGTTCATTGAGGCGGAGTGCCCCGAAACCAGCGGGAATGATCAGCTCGAGTGGATTTTGAAGAGTACGTACTTGGAGAATACTCCACTCAAGGGTTGGCCAACGACTGTCATAAAGCAGGCAGCTGATAACAACTCGAAATCCACGCATGCAGCTGACTTCGAGCGCTGGTTCCCCTGGCTCATCTCTGATTGCGTGGATGTTCTGTCATGCCGCTGTTGACCAGCCGCGGCTTGTTCTCGGTCGGTTATCCAGGTCTTGGCAAGACGACATTGGCCAAAACGCTCTCCATGGCTCAGGGGCGGTTCAATATTCGCACTCACGACCGCGAAGCTAAGCAAGCTGGCTTCCGCGTCGGGAAGCACCTCGAGGTGTTCCGCAACCGAGCAGGCGAGGTCGAGATTGGCGACATCTGCGACGACCCTGATTTGATGTCTATGGACGGTGAGGAGGCCTTGGTGTTCCTGAATGCTGGCGAGACGGGGCTAGTCACCAGGACTCGATACAGCCCTGCTAAGTTCAAGAAGAACTCGTTCAGAGCGATCCTGGGTAACCTGCTCGATGAAGACATGGAGCCGCCCTCGAGCGACCGCGCGAGCATCACCTTCGATGAGTTGCGCAATATGATCGGTCGCTCTTTTGGACCTGTGAAGCCGCAGCTCCTGATGGCTTTCTTGAAGATATGCGTTGTCTTCATAGCTGGGCAGCATGGCTTCTACCTCCGTCTGCCAGGCGAGAACGAGGACATGGTTATCCACCATTTTGACGATGCGCGCCTGCGGAGGGGTGGAGGCTGGGCGAAGCCAGATCACAAAGCAGAGCATGCTGTATTCAGGGGTGGCGTTCGTCAGCGATCTGAAGGCCACGCCGAGGCCGAGCAGTCTGAGTCTGCCATCATCGACAGCTTATTCTCGAGTTTTTCAGGAGTCCCCGTGGCGGAGGTCGCGAGCCGTTGCGACGATTTCGCGTCTTTTTTTTTGTTGGCAGGCGCGCCAGGCGCTGAGCCGAATGGCGCCAGGCCCCACGGCCCCTACCCCGCCGGGGGAAGTCGTCATTCGGCCTGGCGCTGATGGCCAGCACGCCGACCTGGGTTGCCGCACCCCCAAGGTAGAGGCTACTGCGACTAAGAGAGCGAGGGTTCGCTTTGACCAGTCAGGTGGCGCAGCATGTGGTAGCCGAGACGACTACCGAGTAGCGGGGAGGGGGCGCATTGTGAAGGCCGAGGCGAGCGAACGACCTGCTGGAGAGACCGCCGGGCCGTCGGCTGCTGGATGCGATTCGCCCAGGCCGACGCGCGCTCCGTGCGCAGACGCCGCCGAGGACATGGCCGAGTTGCAGAAGTTTCTCTGCTCGGCGGCAGCTGACCACAACGGAGAAGACATCGACCTTCTAAGCCCGAGCTTCTGCGACGATCCGAGCGACCTGCTGGAGGTGCAGAAGGCGCTGTGGGAGGCGGCGCGCGACGCCCACCAGTCCGAGATTGTTTTGACGGCGTGCGATGAGGCTGATGTTGAGGGGCCCCATGCCATTGGCCTCATGCTGCTCGAGTTTGCCACGGGGATCGCCAAGGAGCGCCCGTGGCGCGACGTGTGCCTGATCCGCGCCTTGCAGAGTCTGGGCGTTCCACTGCAGCACTGCAGAGACGGTCCATTTTCCATCAGCCAGGTTCAGAAAATGATCGCCCATCTGAGCTATCGTTGAGAGCACGTGCCATTCCACCCGTATTTTGCAGTGCCTCCTGGCAGCTATGGGGTAACATGCCGCATTGTGGGCGCTGCCATGGGGCATGCAGTTGGTCTCGTGGTGGCAGCCCCAGCGGCGGGGTGGGTCTTCGATGATGGCGTTGTCAGGAAGTGGTCTAGGAGTTTGCATTTTTGTCGATTAGTGGGCGATGCCCCAGCCGATGCGCGCGCGTACTGGCGCGTGGTGAGGGGGCCCAGCCAGTGATATTGCACTGCGTGGTTTCAATCTGCGACGTTGCGTGGCTCGTGCAGGAGCCGCGCGCCGCGCGCAGCAGCTCGCGTCACCAATGCAGGGTTTCGAGCGACTTTGAAGGGCATTTCAATTGCGCGAGCGTTTCTGTGTTCATCGTGACCGCAGAGAACGGAACTGCAGCGTTCAGATCGGTCATGGCCGTGGGGGTGCGCTGGCCGAGTGAAAAAGAGAACCGTCTGTTTAGTTATGTGGTTCAGCTGAGTTGTAGTATCATATGAAGAACGCGACGCTGATGGGAGCACGGTGCAGGAGTCACTTTTCCCGTGGAAGGCTGTTCGATCACATCTTCTGGGTGCCTTGGTGCGGTCTAGCGTAGGAGTCGCGTCTTCGTTGGTTGAAACTACCCTGGAGCCGCCCCTGATATCTCAGAGAATTCTTGGAAGGGTATCTTGGGACTTCTGCATGCGTTCGTCATGCTCCGCTGGAGCGCGCCTTGCTCTGCCATGTCGTCGTTGCCGCCTTCTCATCAGTTCCTTGCGCCGCAGCCGCTTTGGCTCGAAGATCAGGCAGGGCGCCGCGCTTTACAGATGAGTGGTTTTGTTCCGAAGCGCGGCAAGGCCCGCGATGGCAATGGATTTAAGCGGGTCTTGACAGTCGTGAAAAAAAACCGTCTGTTCGCTCGCGGCGCCAGAGGCAGTCGGCGCGCGCGCGTGCATCGCACGCGATGTCTAAGTCCGCAGAGTTGAAGAAGATGAAGGGGCGGCCCCGCGCATCGAAGAACCTCATCGACCTTGCGAATATGTCGGACGACGAAGTTCTGGGACCCCTGCGGGAGCTAGGGTTTGCAAAAGACCTAACAGGCTTGACTTGCAGCGCATGCAAAGGTCGGCGCGCATGGGCCCGAACAGCGTCGAACAGGCGGGCGACGCCCAGTGCGCAAATGCACGAGAAAAGACTGCCGCCGCATGGCGGTTCCATGGAGCCAGCGCCCCTTGCTCCACAGTGGGCGGCGCTCTGCGACCCCGCGGGGGCAGCTGATGAACTTGCTCGGCCTATCGGCCACAAACTCGGTCGCTGCGACTGCCCAGCTCACTGGTCACTCTGAGAAATCGATTACTAGAACGCGGTACTTATTGCAGATGGCTCGGGAAGCTCACGTGCAAAAGATCGAGAGGAGCATGACTTTGGGATCGTCGAAGCCACCTCCGCCGTCGGGGTGGCCTGACATCGAGGTGGACGAGGCGATATTCGGAAAGATAACCATCCGGCCTCCTCGGCATCCAGATGATAAGGTGCAAGCGTGGGAAAACTGGATCGGGATGGTAAGACGTGGTCATCCAAAAACACTCCTCCTTATTCGGTCTACGAACGGTCCTACTCTGGCGCGGTCACCTGGGCCCGGCCCCATCACAAAAGAGCAGTGGCGGGACATATCTCGCACCTACTTCAAGGACCGCCACGTCGTGCTCCATTCTGATTCTGCGCGGGCCCACCGCGAAGTGAATATACCGGGCGCGGTCCGCGATCAGGTAGTTCATAAGAAGCGCAGGATCTACAACAGCAAGAAAAGAAGTATGTTTGGTTGAAACCAAAGTATGTAAAGACCGTCAAACATAAGATTCGCGGCAAGGCCGCGTGGAGGAAAGCTGGCACTCAATCGATTGATTCATGCTGGAAATTTCTCAAGTCCCGTCTGAAAGTAAACCAGGAGCTCAAGCCTGGAACCAGAGCATTTGCGTTGGCCGTGCGCTCAGCTCAATATGAGTATTGGACTCGCGGCCAGGAACCATGGGATGCGCTGGCTGCTCCGTGCCAGTGATGCCAGGGTCAATTATATGCAACATATTGCGGCTCGTGCAGGTGCTGCGTTGCCGTTCTGGTATCGTCCGCTGCGCGGGTGCGCGTGTGCTTGGCTCGGGATAGGTAAGTCTGCCGATTCGAAGTAGCTTCAGTTTGAATGCGGCGTGGTTGGGCAGCTTACAAAAGGCAGACCCTTCTGCGTTAAGATGGTGTTCGCTCTTCCATAGCGCCTGTCACATTTGTGCGAGGGTATCTGCCCGTGCCATGTAAGATGATAGAACGTTCACTGTCAAGGTGGTGCTCGGTCTTAGCGCCGGCCGCGTGTATGCGCTGGTATCCTTACATGATATGTATGGCTTCGTCGAATTCTTCCAGTTCAATTATTACACTGCAGTTGTTGTTATGCAGTATGTCCAATGGACTGCTTCATGTTTCATCGTAATATTATTTGGTTTAATTAAGGCCTCAATTGTCTTGTTGGCGCGTTCCGTCGGAAGGGTCCCAGGGAGGCTTCTCGGTTTGATTTTTAGTACACAAACCATAGGTTTTACTCGAATTCGAGACCCCATCCTTTTCTCAGTTTGGGGGGGGTCTCAAACGCGGCTCGGAAACCAGTTTTCTATTGCCACGGGCTGATATGTTGAACAAAATGCTTTGTTTCAGTAGCAAGGTTAATGTATGAATTTTGTTTATTAAGGTTGCCAAACTACTTTCGCTGTTCGGTTTTAATCCTGATATCGGTAAATCTTCAAATTAATGTTTTGTATCTTCAAATCTGTAGATGGTTGAATTCTTCAAACCGTCAAATCTTCAGTTCTTCAGTTCTTTATTTATGTTAATTCTTACATAGCTAAACGCTCAAATCCTCAAATGTTCAAACACGCGGAAACTGTTTGAATCGTTTGGGTCGCAGCCCATATCGAATTATTCCATTATCCAGGTTATGCATTTCATTTACATGTTTATGGTTGATGCTTCGTGGGTTGTAACGAACAACCGCGCAAATCATTACGACATCCAATCAACAAACTAAGCACGCACGTGCGAAACATAAAAGCGTTGATAGGAGGATGATGACGAAAACAGAGGACAAGGGAGAGAAGCGACATATCGGAAACACAAATAACATCAGAAGGAAAAGGAGCATTTTCAGCAGGACAATGCGGTAGGAGAAGAGACAAGAGCAGGAGGAGGAGGAGGAGGAGGAGGACAATGATGTCGAGGAGGAACAGCAGAAAACGGAAGGATGGAACAGGGGGACGAGTACAAGAACGAAAAAGTGAGGGGCGAGGGGGACGAGGAGGAGAAGGAGGAGGAAGAGGAGGAGCAAAGGACGAATCAGCTGTGGGACGAGCAGGACGAGCAGCAGGAGAACGCGAGCGGCAATTGTATTATTTGTAGTGAATCGGTTCAAGTTGTGGGCGTTTCATATCGTATTGTGCCCCAGTTTCGAGTGATGGTGAAGGCGGGGGTTTTTGATGATGTTGAGAAGTTTAACTTGTGCGAAGAGCTGTACAGGTACTACAAAGGATGCAAATTGGCGTCAGCCAAAACAGGGCGGGAATATCTTGATGACCTGATGAGTGACACTTCAGGGACATACTTGTTAAATGTTGCCCGGCAGTTGCCCCCAACCAATGATGGCGGAACTTGTCGCAGAGCAGCACATTTCTGGGCAGCGCGTTGGATAGAACGGGCAAGCAGAAACGCGAAGCAACATATATCTCATATGCATACTATGTCTTTGACACATTATCCGCCATCCTCCAGAAGCTAACAGAGGCAGAGGGAGGGAGGAGAGGAGGTACAGGAACGACGTCAGTCGTTTGTGGAATGTCATATTATCTGTGGTATAGCAGTGGTGGTAGTAGTAGTAATAGTAGTAGCCGTAATAGTAGTAGTAGTAGTAGTAGTAGTAGTAGTAGTAGTAGTAGTAGTAGTAGTAGTAGTAGTAGTAGTAGTAGTAGTAGTAGTAGTAGTAGTAGTAGTAGTAGTAGTAGTAGTAGTAGTAGTAGTAGTAGTAGTAGTAGTAGTAGTAGTAGTAGTAGTAGTAGTCGTAGTAGTAGTAGTAGTAGTAGTAGTAGTAGTAGTAGTAGTAATAGTTAGTTTATATTTTTTTTTTTTTAGTTAGTAGTATAATAGTAGATAGTTTAGTTTCTTTTTTTTTTTTTCGTGTTTTTATGTTCTAGGCCAGGAGTAGTGTAGT